GGTAGTGCCTTGAATATTGATAGTAGATGCTCCATAGATATTTGTTGAAAGAATAGAATGCATGGTTAATATTTCTAGATAATGAGAGAATTTTATTTTAATATTTAAGATTAACTCCCAGAACTTATTACTGGGTAGACAGGACTTGGGCTATAGGAAGGAATAAACAAACAGTGTAATCGTATAATTCACTAAAACAAGAAAATGTTAACTTTTAAGATAGATGGAAAGGTGTTGAGAGGATCTGTACATTTAGTGAGTCTTCAGCTGGTCCTTAAATCCTGATTTAGAGAGGAAGGAAAAAGGTTCTGGGCTAAGGGAATGAGAAATCAGCTGAATGGAAAAAGTCCATATTAGGTAATAGTGTCAGACTGAAATATTTGACAAAGAACAGAATCAGATCTAGAAACTATTAAGAGTCTGTTGTCTTCCAGACCACATGTTTTCACTTGTATTAGTTTTAGTCTCACAAAAACTCTGTGAGGTAGGTGGCATTATCCCCACTTGCAGATTAAAACTGAGGCTCAGGGAGACTGAGTCACAGCCATAGAGGGACCCAGGTCCATTGTCTCTCAGCCTGGTCTGTGTGCTTTCACATCAGGCCATGATTATGTCATTTGGACTCAATTCCTTTGGGAGGCATAAAGGGTCTTAAGAGGTTGTAAGATAATGTAAGCAATGTGTTAGAAATATTGTTTAGTCGTTTTAATACATTTTAGTGGATGTTGTTTTAAAAACTGCAAGACTGACTTTAAAAAGTGGCTTTTTTAAAGGAACACAATTTTTCTCTATCGTTCTTCCTACTTTCCCCCTTTTGGTTCTCCTGATCTCATTTTTTTCTTCCCCTTTCATTTCTATCTTCTCTCCTCTCTCCTCTGTCCCCCACAATTCTATTTTTCAATAATACAAAAACCTGACATTGAATTTTTATTCTTATCAAAAAATATATTCCCCATTTTTTGTATTTTTATCACACTTAAATTTTTTAAAGTAACAAACTTTTAAAAGAATGTTTACATTTTCCTCTCAAAGGTGTGATTTTTTTAATCTTAAGCTTTGTGTAGTCCAGTTTAGAACTTTTTCCCCTTTTGAGGGCCTCTCTACCATAAATCTTAAAACCATGGCTTTCTTCTCCTTCACCCTAATTTAGTTTTTAAGTTAAACAAAAATGACACCTGGTGGCAGATCTGTTCAATTACAAGTTTTTTTGCAGTTTACTTATTGTGCTGAAAGAATAAGAAATATGCAGGTTTGGACAGAGAATTTAAGCCAAAGACTATAATTGAAATGAATTATAACCTCAAGCACGTTTTTAAAAGATGTACCCAAAGCATGCTCCAAGTAGTATCTATTTTAATATTAATTTCTCTAATTATCAGAGGGTTTTATATCTGGTGCTAATCTGTCATCTGTGTTTCCTCATGAAAATGATTTTTCTATAATCACTTATTAAAGAAAATCTGGGTACCGACCTTTGTTTCACTTATATACCTATTCTGATTATAAGGGTTTTTTAATGAATTGTGTTTATTACTTTTTCTCCATCCTATTATGTTTATTATCATCTTACTTTGGTTTTTATTTTAGATTTTTTTCCACTTTATGTGTTAAATCCATCTATTTTGTGATATCCTCCATTTCTTCACTCATTTTTTTCCCATAAGTATGCAATAAAACTTGTTCTATTTTCTTAGTTTACTTGAAAAAGTTTTGCATTGTATAGAACGGGGTACAGTCTATAGTTAAATCTTCATCCTGCTACCCTTTTTTTTTTTTTTTTGGCTGCTTGGGTCTTTGTTGCTGCACGTGGCTTTCACTAGTTGCGGTGAGCAGGGGCTACTCTTCGTTCCGGTGCATGGGTTTCTCATCTCGGTGGCTTCCCTTGTTGCGGAGCACGGGCTCTAGGTGCGCGGGCTTCATTAGTTGTGGCTCGCGGGCTCTAGAGCACAGGCTCAGTAGTTGTGGCGCACAGGCTTAGTTGCTCTGCGGCACGTGGGATCTTCCCAGACCAGGGATCGAACCCGTGTCCCCTTCCCTGGCAGGCAGATTCTTAACCACTGTGCCACCAGCTTTAAATCTTTTTTTGGAAAACCAGAAAATAGATCATTTGAAAATTAACATTTATTTGTGCTTGGTGTATAATCCTGTTTGTTTTTAGCGCATTAATTCCTCCCAACAACCCCAGGAGGTAGGTAGGTACTAATGTTATCCCCACTTAACAGAGAGGAAAATGAGACCACTCTGCTAGGACGAGGTCGAGCCAAGAGTGAACCACAGACATTATGACTCCAAAGCCCAGCTTCCAAGCCACTGTGCTCTGTCGCAGCTGTGGATACAGAGCAATCCTACTCACCTCGGTTAAATAATTACTGCGTCCTCTTCTGTTATTTCTGCATTGTTTTAGTAAGCTCTGCAAATATTGCTTTTTGTAATTTCAGTAATTGTCCATTGTTCAGTTTTTCTGTTTTGAAGCCAATACCCTTTAGTTGTCTGTCACCTCGAAATGTTGTTTAAAATCTGGATATATTTTTGAATCACTACCATCATTATCTTTAACCAGGTCCTTTGCAGAAGTTATACTTCACTCATTCACATGTTTCCTTTTTCTTTTCAAATAACTACAGACAACATTTCTAGTAAATAGCAATGGTACTGAGGCATTTTATTCTGATCCCTAGCTTTTGTTTGTTTTCTAGGGAAATCACTACACACTAAAGTCATTTAGTGTAAGCCAGCTAGTGGTTTTAAATAAGTATTCATAGTAGTATGAATTTCTCCAAGCTGAGTTTTCTTAGAGTTTTAGTCTATAAATATTTCATTTAGGTAATGCCTCACGTATGTACAGGGCGTAGCAGCAACACAAAGGAAGGAGTAGGCAGTTCTCCCTGGAGGCCAGGATAGGCTTCAAAGATGAGGAGCCACCTGCCTAGGATTTAGGATATTCAGCTCGAGTCGGAAAGTACGAGGTAGCTCTGTGGTATCATGTGGGTCATAGAGCCTTCACCCTCTCCCACCACTTAACGTTTGGTTGAAAACTTAGAATTTGATTCTTGACTTCAAGATGCCCAGATCCTGCTTACTAGTTATATAAACTTTTATAGCGTAAATAAAACTGGACATCTTCTCTTCCTATTGCTACCACCTGTCCACTCCTCGTCAACTCTAGCGTAACAGCACTGTGCACAAGTTAAATATTTTACAAAGAGAGTCATTCAGCAGAGTTGGGTGGCTCTAGGGATGACAAAACAGAACCGAAGGAGGATGTGTAGTTTCATGCTGTTTCTGTGAATGTTCCCTGTCTAGGTTGGGGACCAGATTGTTGAAATCAATGGGGAACCTACACAAGGCATCACACATACTCGAGCAATTGAGCTCATTCAGGCCGGTGGAAATAAAGTTCTTCTTCTTTTGAGGCCAGGAACTGGCTTGATACCTGACCATGGTAAGTTAAGTAGCTCACCTGTAGCTGAAAAGCTGAGAATGTGTTAGGGAGGGGGCAGCAGAAGGAAAAGGAATATCAGTTTGGAGGGGAGAGATATTTTACTAGCTAATTCAGAGGTAACCACCAGAACCATCTAAAGTTAGTTACCATAAATAATAATATTACAAAATAAGTGATTCATACAGAACTTTTGTTAGACTAGAATAATATATGTTAAGCTAGTTTCAGCAGAAAACACAGTTGCTTTTGCAGAGAAAAGTGCCTATAAAAAACGAGAACATTAGAGGCAAACGATTTTAATGTCATGAAAAGCATTTGAAATCTCTTCAAATGTTATTTTTTTTTTCCTTATAGTAAGATGAGTTTCTCTCTTAATGAGCAGCATAAGAACTTTAGGCTTTTCTGGTCATTTGTCAAAAACAAGTTACTTTAGCTCTACCTGGAGACAAGGAGTTGCACTTGGGACCATTTCCGTAGTCCTGTACTGATCTTAAATTTCCTTGGTTTCATTGTATGCTTTTGAAATATCACAGTATTTGAAAATCACTGTTTATCAACTGAGTGCACTAGTCTAGAAGTACAATACCACACCACTTAGTCCTTGTCCGTTCCAGTTTCCTCCCTTCCCCCCATAGAGCTTTTGAGGGATAAGTATAGACATGACCTCCTACAGTCCCCTTCCAGCCTATAATCCTCTGACTGTATTACCTTCCACCATCTGCTTGTAAACCATACGTCCCCGGTGACATCTTTGCTAACTGCGCTGTGATGTTTTTTTACACAGTCCTAGGCTTTTTCTCTTCCTTCTTCAGGTTTGGCTCCTTCCGGTCTGTGCTCCTACGTGAAACCTGAGCAACATTAAGGCTTTCAGGGCTTTTCTTGGTCTTTCCTTAAAAAGATTTGGTAAATTTGCATGTCTTGTAAATCACTTCCTTCTTTTTTTTTTCTTTTTAATTAAAAATGATGCTATTAAATACATCTACTTCTATCTTCTGCACTTTTCAGTTTCCTTTTGACATTAAATTTGACAGCTTAAAGCAAGAAAATTATTTACAAATGCCCATGAACTCCATTCTGGTTACCACAGTTTGGTCTCCTTTATTAGTGATTTTGGCAAATCCTGAAGCTATATCCATCAATAATAGCTAAATTAGTAAGCTGCTTGGACCAGGTAATTTGGTCCAATTTTATTATTTATTTCTTTTAAGATTTTTATTGGGCTTTTGCTAAAGAATTTACACATCATATATTATCGTACCTATTATACAAAAGTAATTGGAAAAATGAATACTATTATTTTGTATATATAAAACAACCTACCCTTCAGGTACAAGTATAGCTGTCTGTATACGTCTGCCTTTATAGAGAGAGATCTAAACATACATGAACTTTATTTATTTATAAAATACTCAGGCTGTTTGTTTAAGCAGTCAGTAAAATCCAAATGGCTATCAAAAACTTCAAAACTTAATTGTTCCTATTTATAATTCTGAAATTTCATAATTTTCTACTCAAATCACTTTTTTTAGGTGATTGGAATATTAATAACCCTTCATCTTCCAATGTGATTTATGATGAACAGTCCCCATTTCACCCATCTTCACCTTCTGCTTTCATATTTGAAGAGTCTCGTGTGCCAGTAATTGAAGAATCTTTGATGAGAGTTCAGATATGTGAAAAGGCAGAAGAATTAAAGGACATCGTGCCTGAAAAGAAAAGCGCTTTAAATGAAAATCAGTCTGATATAAAACATCAGTCTCTTCTCCATAAAAATGTGAATAAAAGGGATCCGCCCAACAGTCATGGGCACAGTGATAAGAAAAATCTCTTGAAAGTAGAAAATGGTGTCACACCAAGAGGCAGATCTGCTAGTCCCAAAAAGTCAGCCAGTCGATATTCAGAGGAACATTTAGAAAAGATTCCCAGTCCTCTAAAAAATGACCCCAAAAGAAGACCCAGAGATCGATCACTCAGCCCCAGGAAAGGAGAGAATAAAAGTAGTCAGATCAGCACCAGGGCAGCTTCTGGACAAGACCATTGCAGAAAAAGCAGAGGACAGTCTTCAAGCCCAAAGAAGCAGCAAAAAACTGAAGGAAGCAAAGACCAATCAAATGTGAACCAAAGAGTAGGGGGCTACGCTAGCAACAATGCTGAGCAGATGTCAGATGGGAAAGAAAGATCAGGTGTTATCAGGAAAGATACAAATCAGAGTCAGCCTGGAAAAAACAGAACCAGGTCTCCAGAGAAAAAAAGCAAGAGAATGGATGAAAAGTCTCTTCCATCCAAAAAGACAAATAACACTACTAGTAGAGCTATATCGGAAAATGAAAAAGGAAAGAAAGCAACCTTAGTAGAAACAAGTTCTAGTAAAGATAAAATAGGAGAAAATGTCAAACTATCAGAAAAGAAGCCAAAGCAGGAACCTGAAGAAAGAATGGTCTTAAACAAAATAGAAGATCACAAAAGAAAAGAACTAGAGGCAGCTGACAAAAACAAAGAGAGCGGAGGGTTCAAACCTGAAAGCGGTTCTCCAGCTAAGAAAACACCAATAACTCCAGGGCCTTGGAAGGTGCCAAGTGCAAGCAGAGCCACAGGCACTACTGGTGTGGCCGAGAAGCGACTGTGACCTTTAGTATAAAACAAAAAAACAAGTTGTAATCTTTTCCTACTAAAAAGCAGTGTTCCCCTCCCCCCCAAAATCATTTTTTTCAGGAATTCTGAAACACACATCATCAGAAGTACATTTTAATTTGAGTATCAAGTTACCTAGGCTGCATGAAGGGCCTGCAGGATTGCTAAGAACCCACTGTCCCCCTGGCTGGCTGCCCGCCTTGCGCTCAGGAAGGAGCCGCACCCACGGGCTCATCGGACACGCCCGGCTCAGGCCGCCCAGCTCGTCTTCATGAGTGTCTGAACAAATGACATGTTGATATTCACAACGTGGTCACAACTCACTTTATATTTGTGCCAAGTTATCTACTGTATCATGTCTATTTTATCCTTCTCACGCAGATATTTCCACAGTAACGAAAAAACTAGGTTTGGCTTGGAAGTTGATATTCTCAATAGCATGTTGCATGTTTGTTTACAGAGAGAAATATTTGAGCCCTTGCAGAAGAAGAGATTGTTAACTCATCATTAAAGATGGCAGTTGCCTCTCCTAACAAACAGCTTACTGATGATGTCCCCGTTTAAAAATAAAACTCCCAAACATCACTACTGGAAAGAAAAAAAAAATGTAGTCAAATACTGACTTTCTTATGGCTGTTTATTTTAATTCGGCCGGATAAGGTATTTCAAATAACTGTTAAAGATGTTATTTACAAATGAACGTTCAAATGAGAAAGCACTTCAGTTGATTAAGAGTTCACCTCCTGCTGTGTTATCCAACTCTAATGTGTTATAGCATCTCAGATCACTCTTTTATTTCATTTATTTTATTATGAAACCACAAAGAAGCATGTGGAAATATTGCTTATTGCTATCTGAAGAAAAACTACCAAATTTCTCTTTCTGGATATTTTGGTTGAACCAACTACTAAGTCATTAGTCATTAATACATAATACATATTTGAAGAGGGACTTAATCATGAAACCAGTTTCACGGTCCGTTGCCAGATGAGGCACCAACTCATCTGGCAGCCGCTGTACGAGTTCGAGTGTTGAGAAGCAGAACCTGTGTGAGACCGGCTCACAAGCAAGTGAGGACAAACGTGGCGGTAGACAGTCCTTGCTGGATCTTGATTTTAATACCTAGCTACATTAACCTATTTGCAAGGAAGAAAGGGAGAGTAAACATCTGCTTAGCTTGTACAGATTTTCCGAATTCTTTCCTAAAGTCTAATTAGAGATGTTTGTTGGAAGGTAGAGACAGTTTTTAGCCCCATAAAATAGATCCGGGTTTCTCAGCCCCCGGAAGCAGCATTCAGTAGCATCTATAAATAAAGGAACATTCTCAGAATAAAACCATTTTCTGGAGTATTTGAACACACCTGTTCTGTCACCGTGGGTTCATCTTGTTATTGTGAAACACATCATGTCCAGGTCCTTCCCTCTCAGAGTCTGACTGTGAAATTCTTTAATAATTATAACAACTAAATCAGCCCCTGTAGATAAGACATGCTTCCCAGAGTGAGATTTCTGAAATCCCCTTTCCATCCAGAACTATATTTACCCACCTATTGTAACTACTTGAATAGAGAAGAATTAGAAGGCTTGATAAATGCTAAGAATTTAGTATCACAGAAATGATTTATTTTCCCTATAGTCCACAATTAGTGATAAAAATCCAATTTTTGTTAACTGCGACATAACTTTGATGTCATCTGTTGTCAGTCTGATGTGGCTCTTTCCTTTCTAAGTAACCTGTCACTGTACTGATTTTGTACTGACTTGGCAATGTGGCCTTGGAATGCTAAGCAAAATACGGATGTACTGGTTGTAAATGTTTATATATTGTACAGTACCTTTATATATACACTTGAGGTTCTGATTAGAGAAAGAGACCTGTAAATCGCTCGTTATTTTTTATATAGATATTAAAAGAAAAAAAGAAAAACAAAAATCAGTTCATGGCCTGCATTTCTTTTACTGTCAGGTTTATGTAATGTTGCTTTTTCTATTTGTGGAGCTAATTCTCATCATGGTCTGAGTCCTCAAATAGATTTTTATCCCTACAAGTAACAAATATTCAGAGTCCTACAATCAGAAAGACTCTTACAATGATGACTTTACCTGTATAGCTATACTTATCTATATGTAAAGCTCAAGATTAGTCGGAGTTGAATATCATTATACCTACTTAATACCTTTCACTGTAAGGAAAACAGCTTTGCATAAATAATTTGCTACCCCCCAAAAATCCTTTCTTACACTGTCAGGGAAAGAAAAGGACTTGTCTTATTGGAAATTGTCATCAGACATTTCTAATGGACATAGCTGTGTAAGTCCAGTTACCACAAGGTCACAAACTCTATTTCATCAGACTGTGGCATTTCACATTATTTTTAAATCATTTTATCTACTCTAGGTCGTACTTGTAGAGTGAAGTATTTTGACTTGATTTCACTGAAATTCTTGGAATGAATAATGCCTAAAACCTAGCTCAAGACCATGGTTAACTGAATACTCTTGAGGAGAAAAATTAATTCCCGCCTGCCATTACTGAACTCACACTGAAAATAAACTCCAAACCCCGAGCCCTACCATGGAGATGTGTGTTGTAGCAAAGCCTGCAGAGTGGCAGCAAAATCATTTTGTTGCTGTTTCAGTGGACATATTTTCTTATTGGTCGTAACAGCAAAAAAGTTCTGGGATGCTATCACGTTGTCTCCCTAGGGAGATTAGTGAGTAAGAGCCTGTAATATTGTCTTCTAACCCCCATACATTAAGTTTCTGGGGCCACGTAGCTTTTGCACAGAGTCAACTCCTATTTCAGAAGTCTTGGACACAGAAAAGCATGTGGCTTTTTATTTCTACCTGAGCATACCTTGGTTATTTCCTTTTTTAATAGTCAGATATTCTCATGTAGAGAAAGTCAAATGCTTTTCAAGGTGAACTGATGAAGAGCTTCACATTAAACAATGTGTCCAACATTCAAAAAGAATTGGGTTTTAAGAAAGCAAGGACTACTCAAATTAGTTAAACGGTGTGACAGTCTTAACTACCGACCTCCACAGAGATGTGTTTAAGCTTGAGCTTAGTCCAGAGTGAGCTCCAGGAACTAAGGAACACTGGTGTAAACAGACTTCAGTCACGAAACGTGATGATTCAGTCTGGCGTGAAGAATATATCAGAGCAACTTCTTACATCATCCTGGCATGCTCCAGCGCTAAGAACTACTTGTGCTTTTTAAACAATAGCAGATTTGTTTATTTAGGCAGCTCTTTACTGCTTATGCTATTAAGGTTTATCAGCAATACAATGACTGGTTTAAAGCACGCCATAATTATGACATGAACTCTATAATCTTTGCTTCAGTTGACTGAATTAGTTTAAGATATCCACTAACTTGGATCTGTTTTCAAAGTTTCTGTGCAAGTAGGGCCTTAAGTGTAAGAAGCGAGTATGAAGGCTTATTGAGAGTAGAATTTAGTAGAGTTCTGCCAAAGAACTCTGAACCTTTCTCACATACACATTAAAATACAAAAACACAGCCAAGTGCTTTAATTTAGCCTGAACCTATATTTTTCCAAAGAATCCTGTGGGTATTTGTCTATTTTACAATGTTTGCATTAAAGTCAAGCAGAACTATTAGCAAATTTTTATAGCAAATCAAGAGGCTTATTTTGTCCTTAATAAACAACTATTTGTTACCTTGAGTAATACCTTACTACAGCATATAGGCTCAGGGTGCGCTGCAGGAAAGGAATGGAATTATTTCACATTTGTGAAATTCAAACTTCATTATTCAAGATGGGCACCAATAACTGCAAGGAGCAAAGGATTACTTTAAATGACCAAACTAGTCAACAGCTGTATAGATGAGATTAAGTTTAATGAATTTACTTCTTGATAATTCCAAATCATACACTATATTTGGGAGTAAGACCCATTTGGCCCATGATGGAGTGTGTAGACTAAAAAATTTTGAAAATGAATTTCATTAATTTGAAAGAGGGTTATTTTTACAGTGCACAGGTTCACTTACCTCTAGATACAATGAACCAAAATTAAAAACACAGACCCGTAAGCTTACACTTTGGAGGACATCCTGGTATTTAGAACTTTTCTACTTGTCTCTGAAAGTTAAGAAAGCCATACCCCAATTAGGCAAGTATTTGGTTATTCAACTTTTCAAAGTGTTTATATTATACATGAGGCATAATGTACATATTTAGGAAGTCTGAAGTCATACCTCCATAGCGATTTTAGGAGATAGAATTTTTCCCAATACAAATTATAAAAGTAGCTGAACAGGTATTTTTCTTATCCATCTATGGTTATTATTATTTCAATTAAATGTATGTATGGCCTAATCTAGTTCTATTTTTACATCTTGGTTTATTTAATTTCTCAGTAGCAGGTAAATGTTAAAGTATCACTCCTTTTGGGAGATCAGAAGTCCAATCTCCTAGAAATTATTATACAGGAATAAATGAAGCACTGACAGTACAACTCTTCCATCCTAACAGAAGAAAAAAGAAAAAAAAACTACAGAAACAGTAGATTACTTGAGGTCTATTCATTTATTCTATGCATTTATATTACGTACCTATTATGGGGTCAGGTACTCTTCTGCATTCTGGGGACCTAGGAGTGAAAAACAACAACAACAAAAATTCCTGCCTTAAGGGACTTATATTCTAGTGGGGAAGGACAGAAACAAGTAGGCAAAAAATAAACAAGATAATCAGGTTCTGATAAGTGCCGTGAAGGAAATGAACAGGACCATATATAACTGATAACAAGGATAAGATGGGGAACAACTTTAACTCAGAGAAGGTCCTGCTAAGGAATTGACAGCTGAGAAGCCATTCAGGGGAGAACTGAAGAAATCATATTCCAGGCACAGTCTGAGATAAGAAAGAACTTGGTATAACGGAGGAACACAGGGAGGCCAGTGTGGCTGTCAGGTACTGAGGAGGGGAATTTGGAAAGGGAAGCAGGTGTGATAATGAAGGGCCTTGGAGGCCAGCATAGGGAAAGCCAGGAAGGATTTAAGTAGGAATGATATAGTCTCCATATTTTTAAGCTCACTCACGTGGCTGTGGAGAACCGACTGCAGAGGCAAGAATGGGAAGGGAACAGTGGGTCAGCACAGTAATCCAGCTGAGCGCAAAGGAGGCTCAGTCTGTTAGCGGTGGAAACACAGAACCAACGTGACTGGCTGGTAGGTTAGATATGGAGGGAAAGAGAGGAACCAAGAATAAACCCTAAGCCTTTGGCTTGAGCAATTGAGTAAACTTTTTTCTATTTACTAAGGTGGGAAAAACATTTACTCTCCCACCTCAGACAGCTTAAAAAAAAAAAAAAAAGGAAAAATATATATGAAAAAACGGGTGTTAGATGTTGGACAACAGGCAGTAAAAGATAGTGGAATTCAATGAGGTGAGCCCCATGTTTGCCCCAGATTACCTAGAGGCAGTTTCTAGGCTGTGGTGTAGGAAGGGGGTATCCAAACTGAACCAAGCAGCCTTGCTGAGTTGAGGAGAGAGTTAAGAATCTGGGGCGGCCAGGACAGCTAGAATTGGCAGGCCGAGTACCAGAGAGAAGACAGCTGCAGAGAGAGGAGAGCACAGCTGCACAGAGAGGAGAGAGCTCCAAAAATGTGCAGAGGTTTCCTTTCAAGTTTTCAGGTATTGATGAGCACAAGGAAATACTCAACAGGGAAAGAACCACCAAAAAGAAGCAGGCCAAAAATTCTTGAGCTGGGAAGAGTTCTTGTTCCTACAGTTAAACTGGAAAAACCTGATCATGAACAGGGTTATCAGGTAGAGTACTCAGGAGGATTTTGCTTCAGTTGTGGAGAAAAGTAGCACCAGAGTAAAGGCTGCTCTGGCCCACCTAACAAAGCTTAAAAGCAAGCCTTGAAATGATCAAACTGTTTTCAAGTATCTTAACTGCATTCTAAAACAAAGCTCAAGAATATTTAAAAGAATACACACACACACGAAGACCCGACACCCAACAATGTAAAATTCACATCCATTAAGAAATTACTAGGCATGTAAAGAAGCAGGAAAGTATGACCCAAAATGAGGAGAAAAATAAATCAACAAAAACAAACCCCCAGATAACACAGATGATGGCTGTTATAATGTTCTTATTTACTATTTCTATTATAAATATTATGAAAACAAGATAGAGAAAAGAAACAGCACGTTAAAGAGAGACATGAGGATACAAAAAACTGAAAAAGCAATATCAAAATTCTGTAGACAAAATACATTGGGTAGGATTAACAGCAAATTAGTGCAGAAGAATAGGTTAGTGAACTTGAGGCACAGCAATAGAAATAGTTGTGCCAGTCTTCTGTCTTGAATAGAAATTAAAAACAGAAGACTGGGACAATGTACAGAACATCAGTAAGGTGTGGGACAACTTCAAGCAGCCTAATTAACATGTGGAGTCTCAGGAGGTGGGAGACTGGGGTATAGAAAACTTATTTTAAGAAATAACAGTCAAAATTTTTCCAAATTTGATGCAAACTAAAAATCCAGAGACCCAGTAAGTGCAACAAATCCCAAGCACACACACAAATAATGAAGACAACTACACCAATGCACATTATAACTAAATAGCACAAATTCAATGAAAAAGGTAAAAACCTTAAAAGCAGCCAGAGTTTAAAAAAAAAAAAAAAATACAGAAGAACGAAGATGACAATGACAGCAGACTTCTTGTCAGAAGCAATGCAATCCAGGAGGCAGTAGAGCAGCAACATCTTTAAAACTAGAATTTTATGCCCAGAAAAAACATCTTTCAAACATAAAGATTCAAAAATCTTTCTCAACAAAGTAGGCCTATACACCTTGCTAAAAAGATTTTGGATTTTTACCTTCAAAGTAATACTAAGCCATTAATAGATTCTAAACGATGAGACTGAGACTTGCATTTCAGAAAAGACACATTCGCTTTTGAGATGAATAGGTGGGCATGGGGGAGAGGGGCAGAAAAGCAGAATCTTGTTCAAAAACAAAGGATGTTGACTTAGATGAGGGTGGTGAAAGTGGGGATGGAGAAGAAAGGACTGATTAGAAAAATATCTAGAAGATAATTCCTCACAGACTTGATGACTGGATGTGAGGTATGAGAAAGGCAAGAGTGAAAAATGATTCCCAAGTTTCCGACATGAGCAACCACCCATACAGTTAATTTTACCCACCTGAAAAATCATTTAAACCAATTATACACCATCAAAACTATAACCGAAACAACTCACAGGAGTAAACTATTCTGAATACTGCATTTACGCTAAAGAATTCACTGTGTAAAAAATTCAAATAAAAATAGAACAGTGGTGTTTTTTTTGTAGGAGAAAAAGATAAAGCTTTCTTCATCCGAAATCTGCACTGAGCGGTTCAATCCTGGATTTGAGATAGCTGCTATTGTCCCTTATGGAAAACAGTTAAAGCATGATTTCTATGAGCCATCTGCTGAGATACTGAAGTGCCTTTACAGATCAGTTCCTTCCAAAGGTAAATCACTATAATGGGGTTTTACTTTTTAAAAAGAATTGTAACTCTCACGCAGTATTTGGAATGGCTGCAAAGTTTTGGTAATCCACTTCTAGTTCAGCAATCTTGCCCCCTAGGTTTCTGTCTTCACAGTTAGGAATCTATCAGCAAAAGATTTTTAAAGGGTTTTAAACAGTAATTACAAATGTTTATTGTGGATTTATTAAGGGCGACGTACTTTATGCTATGTTAAGTACCTTACCTGATAATCTCATTTAACCTTAACAACACTGTTAGGTAGTTATTATCCTTATTAAGCAGGTAAAGAAATTGAGATGCAAAGATGTTAAGTAACTTGCCTTAGACTATGAAGCTAATAAGTAGCAGAGCCAAGGATATGAATCCAGGAAGGTCTGACCTCAATTCCTGGACTTAAGAAATTCATCTTTAAACCTCAAAAATCTTCCTGCATATTAGGATATGTGTAAATGATACACTGATTTTGCATGTACATACTTCACATGTAATAACTAAGTTTCCTAATTATTTCCATTTAAAAATTCACAAAATCTTGTCATTAAAATGTGGGCTTTCAATTTGCCTCGAGAGATTCTTCAAAGTGGGTAACTTAATAAGCAGGAATTAAATGTAGCCTATTAGAGTTTTCATTAACATATGTATACGCATGTACGTGCAATAGGGGATACTGATAAGAGAATCCAGATCATCAGTGGCATAGCTTGGCTCAGTACAGACACCGAGGACATGAGATTATACTGAGGGTTAAATACATTGAGTCTCACAACAGATAAACTATGAACACTTCACTTAGTAGTGTGATGGGAAACATAGCTCAGATGATTTAAATGGAAAACATGTTTTATGGTGGATACGGGTGAGTGCGCATAGACTTAAATTTCTCATGCTGGATCACATGCCATATTACACGCATGACTCTCACCAACAACTATACAGTTATTAGGATTAACTTCAAAATTATAAACTAATTAAAATTTTCTCCATAGTTTAACAGAAAATCACAGTTTAAAAGGTTATTTTTTTCTTTCAACAACGACAAAAAAGCCTAGAAACTGAAATTCTCCAATAAAGTTATTTTATTCAGGCTCAACCTAAAATAGTTTAAACTTGATCTCTCTTTGCTAGAGAAATGAAATCTCCAATTCTATAGACTGTAATAGAAAAGTACTGAATTTGCATATTTCCAATAAAGGATTTTGCTTCATGCTTTGGGCATCTGCCATAGTTACCCAAAAGACTATTTCCAATAAATATAACTGTCACAGCACTGAAATGCCCAGAATAAATTTCCTAACTTAAAAAGTTGTCCTTAAGTTACTATAACACAACAGTCTTCAGTCTCCTGACTATTCATACTATTTGAAAACCATGAAAATACAGGTTTTTAGCATGCACACCCAGTTGGAAAAGGCTCTGTTCCTCTGAAAACACCATTCGTTAGATTAGGTAGAGCTGAGGGCACCTCTCCGTGTGAATAAGCAGGTGGGTGTCTCATGGGTTTGCAGTCATCTCTTTCCTTAATGGGTTAAGCACTGATGCCAGCAAGGGGAGAAAGTCCGGGCACATGACTCAGCTTATGACTTAATTTTCCACAGCTAAGAAAAGAAAATCACCAAAATAGTTAGTTTTATGACAAATAGGTGGGGTTGATAGGTACACTTACATGTAAACCAAGAACCGTTTACCTAAGAAAAAAGTACCAACTGTGACAACAGCAACCATAGAACATCATAGAGAAAAAACCGTTAACAATTTCCAGGATCAAAAAAGATATACTGCAGTTCACGGGCTTTTGGTTTTCATTCATTCTGCCTCTGTACATTTCCCTAGATCAGAGGCCAACCCAGCCCACGCTATTAAATTGACATGAGATTCAAACTTGATTTTTTTGTTCCATTCAAGAGCACGATCTATTGTACTTGCATAAAATGAGAAAACCTAAGCTGAATGTCTATTTCAAATGTCTATTTCTCTACCTCAGGAGTTATTTCCATGCCAGTCCCTCCCTCCCTCCTTCCACCCTCCCTCTCTCGCTCGCTCTCTCACACACACACAGTGGGAAGAACAAAGATCACTATATACAAGAAGTTTTAAGACTTAAGGCAGATGCTACAGAGTGATAATCACACTTACTCTTATATTAAATCCTAGAAGATCACTTATAACACCTGAGACAGCAGAAAGGATAACTACTCGTGTGATATTGTAGATCAAGGGATTCATTGTCAGTCCATAGAGTCTAAATGGTGTGTCCAGCTCCTACAAAAACATGAAAGAACTGAGATGAAATACATGGTTTCATAATAGCCACCAGTGATTTCTCGACTGTTTTTTTCAGTCTTGGGAGAGGATGATTGCTTAAAACCTCTTCCCTTAATGTTCAATAGCTACCTTCAAAAAACCTGTAATGAGGGGAAGTGGGGGAGGGATAAATTTGGAATTTGGGATTAACAGATACAGACTATTGTATATAAAATAAACAACAAGGACCTACTGTATTGTACAGGGAACTATGTTCAATACCTTGTAATAACCTATAATGGAAAAGAATCTGAATATATATATATATCACTTTGCAGTACACCAGAAACATTGTAAATCAACTATACTTCAATTAAAATAATTTTAAAATTAAAAATTAATTAATTAATGCCTTAATGGACTCTCACCTACTTTTCCACTAGCTAAGTTTTTAAAGGTGGATTCAAGCAATATGCTATTTGTTATTTTTTAATGTAATTTTAAAATGTGACAGACATCAGCAATCACTAGAACTTGGGTAGTAAGTTGGGAAACTTTTTCTCATACAGTCATTAACCCCAAACTATCAAGTTGGTAGTTTGAATCTACACAGCATCTATCTGTTACTAGGGTCCTCTCCAAGAAGTACAGCATTGATTTAATTAAATGGTAGTAAAAATGTGTCACAGGGTATTACTTACTTTCAATAACTTGGTGGATAGCTTTAATACATTGTTTACTAGAGTAAGCTGTTCTTTCTTATTCGGCTTTTTTTCCATTTTAAGATATAAATTAATCTAAGGGAAGGAATAGAGATTAGGGCAAATGTCATGGAAAAGATAGATATATATATTGCATTCAACATGGCAGATTTTGAGGTCAATGTTTTCAAGTAAAATAAATTTCAAAATTCCAGTAGCTATTTCTTCAGAGCACATATGCCACGTACCCAAACCCCCATCCCTAATCAGTCACACATGGCAAAGAAAAGCTACTTAGTGAAGAAAAAATAACAATGAAGCAATTTATCAAAACAATGCAAACTTTTATATTAATTATAGCAATTAAAATGTAAACTCCTTGAGTTCAAAAACTATATCTTATTCATCTTGGTATCCCCCAAATAACCTAACATCCTCATTAAACATTCATGGAATGGAAAAAGATCGCTGCTTTTAATTTACTAATCCCTTGTTTTTCCCCTTCTGGTAAGAATTCTCCACTATAATTCTAAGGCCAAAAAAAAAAAATCTAATGATATTAGGTATTTTTATTTAAAACTTATGGATAAACATGAAATTAAAAACAAAAAAACCCAATTCTATACTACTCTGTATTTATAAGAAACATTTCTCAATTGTAATATCTACTCACATACTAAAGAGCAAGTATTTTCCAAACACTGAATGTATTCAGCGTTTGACTGATAGAGAAGAAAGTCAAGAAGCTTATTAAACATCCTTAAATGAGAGGTACTCTAAAGATCTAATACTTGACACAGAATATGAGATTAAAAGCATGCTCCATTACCACCAACAAAAATAATTTTTATACTATGAAGTAGCACCCAATCCTGGGAGCAGGTGGGAAAGATAATATCCTCATTTTATAAAGAGGAAGCAATTATATAGTTGTAAAGTGACTTGTAAGGTGTAAGGTCATATAGCTAGAAAGTGACAGAATCTAGACTCAACCCTGAATCTTCTGCAGAAATCTTATTATACCATCTCTAACCACTGAATCAAACTGTCAAGGACCAATCAATACCTGTTCAGTAAGTAATATTGAGACATTGCTGTATTTCTTATTGGTTTCAGACCCCAGTGAGGCTAAGCGCAGTAAGAAAAGTAGTAAAGCTGATTCCCAGATCAAAAACTCCCAATTATAAGCATCATTTAGGAAAGTTTTATGTCCCCGGAGAACCTATGAAAAGGACCAAAAAACAGTTAAGTTTTTCACTTGTCTTAAAATCTGTAATTACTCCTTTACTCTAGAACTTTAAAAACATTTACAAGATACCAATATTTTAATACTCAAAGTATGAGACTTTTAATACTTATAAAGTATTATCTATTCAATTAGTGATTATGTATTTCTCTAAGTTTCCTAGATTTTCTTCTTTGCATGAGAGACAGCAAGGGTCTGGAAGTAACAAGGGAAGAAAACATAATAGAATAAGTGAAATAAAGCAAATGTATTTCCAAACTCTTTAACCACAAGTGTGCCCACTCACAATTATATGGTGACCATTTTTCAAAGTAGGGTTGGCCAAAAAGTTCCTTTGGTTTTTAAGTAAAAATAAACGACACAGTTTTCATTTTCACCAAGAACTTCATTGAACAACGTATTCACCCTTTTGTTCCACTACCTTCTGCCATTTTTCAGGCAACTTCATAATTCCATCTTCCCAAAACTTTTTTATCTTTTTGAGCAAAGAACTGTTCCAGGTGCCTTTTACAGTCTTGCAGGGAATTGAAAATTTTTTCCATTAAGAGAATTTTGTAAAGACCTAAATAAATGGAAATCCGAAGGTGCAATGTCTGGTGAATGTGGCGGATGAATCAGAACTTCCCAGCCAAGCTGTAACAGTTTTCGCCTGGTCATCAAAGAAACATGCAGTCTTGCGTTATCCTGATGGAAGATTATGTGTTTTCTGTTGACTAATTCTGGATGCTTTTCGTTGAGTGCTGCTTTCAGTTGGCCTAATTGGGAGCAGTATTTTTTTTTTAAGAATTTGAATATTTTATTATTAAACTGTTTCTTATTTTCCTGCAAGGCTGTTGCTTTACTGTATAAAAATAGCACCAGCAAACACAGTATATTGCAAAATTAAGATAGTAATGTTCTTTACTGGACACTATACAACTAACAAACTTTTCTCCACTGCCATTTATTTCCAGTGGCAAGTTCATTGAGTATTTTGACCCAAATCCAGGGATGGCTGTAAGCAAGTTACAATATTATATAAGGTTAAGATAACAATGTTATCCTTGAATTGCATCATTTTTATAACTAGTTTTACCACAGATAATTTCAGGAATTCTGAGTATTATAACTGGAGACTAGCCTAAAAATCACAGGGTGTTGTGAAAAAGATGCATGTGTTTATCTGAAATCATTAGGAAGTTAAGGGGTACTTTCTTCAGGCAACGTTGCAAGTAGTTTATTTTGCTAAAAGTTGCTTTTTAAAAATCTATCCACCACTAATTTAAGACAACTATGCTAGATTCAGTTGTTTCAAACTAATTTATTTAGGGGTTCCATTTTCACTCCTCAATAGATTTTATGTATTTCTCATATGCTTCTTCACTCATTAGTTCATCTAGTTCTGAAGGATTACTGAGTGTCATCTTGATCAGCCAACCATCATCATAACAAGATCTGTTGACAAGTCCTGGATTTTCTGCTAGGGCTTCATTAATTTCAGTTACTTCTGACTGAGGAGAATAGAGTTCACTAGCAGCTTTCACCCTTTCCAAAGCACCAAATTCCTCGTTTGTTCAACTTTGTCCCAACTTCAGGCAGACTACAGTAAACAACATCTCCCAAAACTTCCTGTGCAAAATTGCTGATCCAACACCATTTTCTGCTGTTACCCATTCTTGTTTGTCTGAATTTACAACCCGACAGCAGAGTGGGTCCAGTGTGCAGCACCCGGACGGCACCCGCCCGCAGTCCCCAGGGCCGCGGCAGGCAGGGCGCGTTGGGTGCAGGCTGCAGAGCGCAGCCCGCGCACTCCATGCCACTCGCTGTGCCATGTTCTCAGGGGTGCTGGGAGCAGTATTTGTTGGAATTAATCATTTGGTTTTCTGGAAGGAGCTCATAATAGAGGACTCCCTTCCAATCCCACCATACACACAACATCACCTCCTCTGGATGAAGACCGGCCTTTGGTGTGGTTGGTGGTGGTTCATTTCGCTTGCCCCACGATCTCTTCCATTCCTCATTATTGTACACTATCTACTTTTCATCTCCCGTCACAATATGTTTTAAAAATGGAACATTTTCGTTACGTTTAAGCAGAGAATCGCATGTGGAAATACAGTCAAGAAGATTTTTTTCGCTTTACTTACGTGAAACCCAAACATCAAAGCGATGGACATAACCCAGCTGGTGCACATGATTTTCATTGCTCAACTTGGATATTGTGAGTATGTCGGCTATCTCCTGTGTGGTATAATGTTGATTATTCTCAATTAATGCCTCGATTTGAACACTATCAACTCCAACTGGTCTACCCGACCACGGAGTAACGTCCAGAGAGAAATCTCCAGCACAAAACTTCACAAAGCACTTTTGACACGTTTGATCAGTCACAGCACCTTCTCCATATACTGCACAAGTCTTTTTTGCATTTCATTTGTGGTTTTACCTTTCTTGAAATAATAAAGCATAATATGCTGAAAATGTTGCTTTTTTTCTTCCATCTTCAATATTCCGTATTCAATATGGCTACACAAAAATTCACCAGTTTTGATAAGTTTTTTTTTTTTAAATGCAGGCTGACATGACAGCTGTCACAATACAATCTAATGAAATTGTTTCAAATGAAGTTAGACAACTAAGCACTACTAGAGCCATCTTATGGAAAAAAACCGAACAAACTTTTTGACCAACCCAATAATAAATTTGCATTTGAATAACAGAGCCCCCTAAAACATGCGGCCCATCCCACTGGCATGACTAGAAAATCCTGAGGATCAGCTCTTTACTCCACTTTAGGATCTGAATAACAGCAGCAGCCACCAATTATAAAATGCCTATTATGTGTCAAGTTTTCAGGTAAAAGTTCTTGTTTTTTACAAAATTCTTTTGTTGATTGAAATGTAAAGAAGTTTACTAAAGCAAGCCCAAGGTAAAATGAGATTTATTGAAAAATATACAGAGACCCCTCACAGAAACTAAATGCGGGCCTTTGAAAATCAGGAAGTCAGCAGGTAGCTGCCCTCCCCATCTCCCTTCCACTAGGGCCATTCAGGCTCCCCCCTCCACTCCTCTCAGCTAATCCCACTGCCTTGCAAGACCCTTCTTTACTGCTCCCCCCAACTCTGGCTTGGTTTCCAAGGCTACTGGCCCCAGTGATCCCTTCTGACCTTTCTTCTGCAAAGTCCACCACTGATACCTCAGGTTTTCATTTCTAATTTGCCAAAGAGGGAATATGTTTAGTTTAGTCTGGGTCAGGTATTCACCCCAGCAAGTTACTTACAACTAAGGGGTGGGGGTGGGGGCGGCAGGGGGCAGGAAAGTAACAACTAATAGCAACCTAAAAGTGCTGAAAGTAACTGGCAACCTAGAAATCTCTACCCATTAAGAATATCCTTTAAACATGAAAGTGATAAAAGACATTTTCAAACAAACAAAAACTGAGAGAATTCATCACCAGCAGATTCTTCAAGCAGGCAGGAAATAATCCCAGAGAAAAACACAGAAATGCACAAACTAATGAAAAGTAATGGAAAGGGTAAATATGTAGGTAAATATAAATGAATAATTAACTACAAAAAGCAATAATAATTACATCTTATGGGTTTAAGATATATGTAAAATTAAAATGAAGGACATGTGTAACACAAAAGTGAATGGGTAAAAAAAAAAAAAAAGTGAATGGGTAAATGACATAAAGTGTTGTAAGGTCCTAGCATGGTAAATTAATAATTTTGTTAGACTGTAATAAGCTAAGGATGTATGTTGTAATCTCTGGGGTCAATAGTAGTAAATATATATATATATATATATATATATATATAAAGTTAACAGAGAGGATTAAATGAAATATTTTAAAATATTTGATTAATAAAAGATGGCCAAAAAAAAAGAGAAAAAGGAAAATTAACAAATAAACCAAATAGGAACCAAATAGTATTTGTAGTTATAGTAATTAAGTTTAACTGGGTCAGACATTCCAAATCACTAAAACTGGGAGGCTGGATTAAGAAACAAGCAAACAGGAGCAGGACTGGAGACAACAAAATGGAGTAGAAGGACCTTGAGCTCACCTCCTCTCACAAGCACATCAAAATCACAACTGCTGAACAACCATCAGTAAAAAAGACTGGAAGCTACCAAAAAAAAAATATTCTACATTCAAAGACATAAAGAAGAAACCACAGTGAGAGGGTAGGAGGGGTGCACTCGTAAATGAAATCCCATACAGCCTGGGTGGGTGACCCACAAACTGGAGAATAATTATATCACAGAAATTCTCCCCAAGGAATGAGAGCTCTGAGCCCCACACCAGGTTCCCCAGCCTAGGGGTCTGGCACTGGGAGGAGGAGCCCCAGAGCATTTGGCTTTGAAGGCCAGGGGGGGCTTGATTCTAGGAGCTCCACAGGACTGAGGAAAACAGAGACTTCACTCCTGGAGGGCATATACAAGGTCCTCGTGCACTGGGACTGAGGGCAAAAGCAGTGACTTTATAGGAGCCTGGGCCAGATCTCCCTGCTGGTCTTGGAGGGTCTCCTGGGAAGGCGGGGGGCAGCTGTGGCTCTCTCTAGGATCATAAAAGCTGGTGGCTGACACACTGAGGAGTGTTCATTGATGTGAACTCTGGCTGGAGGTAGACGTCTCGCTTGGGATCTTGGCACCAAGGCCTGGCCCCACCCAACGGCCTGTAGGCTCCAGTGTTGGGACGCCTCAGGCCAAACAACCAAGAGGGCAGGAACACAGCCCCACCCATCAGCAGACAGGCTGCCTAAAGACTTCCTGAGCCCACAGCCACCTCCAGACATGACCCTTGACATGGCCCTGCCCACCAGAGGGCCAGCACCCAGCTCCACTCACCAGTGGGCAGGCACTGGCCCCTCCCACCAGGAAGCCTGGACAAGCCTCTAGACCAGCCTCACCCACCAGGGGGAAGACCCTAGAAGCAAGAAAACTGCAATCCCACGGCCTGTGGAACTAACTCCAAAAACACAGGTCAGAAC